GAAAAGGGACGGATAGGGTTTACTAAAGGATCCCTGGCCGCACTTGGGAGTTAAGAGCTCTGCTGGTGATGGGTCTTGGGTACCAACTCTAGGTGGATTAGTCAGGGACTGAAGGCTTATTTATGAAAATGCCCCTTGGGAAGAGGAGGGAGTGCCCTTCTCAGAGCTTGCAAAACAGTCAGACTTTCTAAGCCCCCAGGTACTTTAGAACGATGGGTAGTGATTAGAAGGGATTGTGAGTGAAAGGGAGAATGATTTTTTTCCCCTGCCTTTTCCCCATTTTTGTTCAGCCACATTGCTTATTCTTATGGATTTTCCTTTACCCATTTTGCTTTTCTTTTATCCCCTTACTTGCCCCTCCTCATTCACTTTGTTTTTCTTTTCTAATATGTGGAAAGTGCTTTGTAACTGCAAAGCACGGTACCGATGTGAGTAAATTGAAGCAAATTCATTATTGATCGACTGCCCCCCTGTGTGTGGTGCATTGTGCTAAGGTGCCATGGGGGTTATAAAGATGACTAAGACAAAGTCCTGCAGTGGCTCATCTTTTCTGTTTCTTTTCCCATATTCGCTACTAAAATACTGCTTTCCTAGATTCCCACCAATTCCCCCTCCTGTATTCTCAGATACAGGCAAACATCTGTCATTTTACTTGTCAGTCATGGAAGAAAAAGCCAAGGCATATGCAGGAAGTGAGATGCTTAATTAAAACCTGTCTTAGTTATCTAGTGCTGCTGTAACAGAAATACCACAAGTGGATGATTTTAACAAACAAATTTATTTTCTCACAGTTTAGGAGGCTAGAAGTCCAAATTCAGGGTGCTGAATTCAGGAAGCTGGCTATAGAGGAAGGCTTTCTCTCTCTGCTGGCTCTGGAGGAAGGTCCTTGTCTCTGAGCTTCTGCTCCTGGCTGAATCTTCCTGTGGCTTGGCATCTCTATTCCCCTATCTCTACTTCTTTTCCCTGCTTAATCTCTCAAAAGAGACCGATTTAAGACACACCCTACACTAATAAGGTCTCATTAACATGACAAAGAGAACCCTTTCCCTAATGGGATTATAGCCACAATCCACAACAGAACCCTTTCTTTGAATTTATCTAAAAGGTTACTTAGTTTGAGTCAGTGGCTGAAATACTCAAAGAAAAGATATCTTAGCTTCATGGGAGTCAGATTACCTTCAGACACTAACTACCAATTCCCATGATGCTCCCTTGCAGTGAGAACTGCATACTCCATCTTCTTCACCTCCTGCCCTCCCAGTTCCATGCTGCACTTATCCCTCTTTCAACAATTTAGTTCAACTGAAGCTAGTATTACGATGCACATATTTTGACACACATTTTTAGTTTTCCAGTATACTAGTTCTTAAAAAATCTCTCTACCCTAAAATGTAGCTTCTTTGAAGATGGGCTAGCATCTTTGGCTGTGATTTTAAGTGGTTGTTATATTTAAATTGATTGACTTATTTTCATACCTGTTGAAGCATTTTAGAGGTATTTGAAAAGATCAATAAAGTAGTCAAGATATAAATTGTGTATCTCTGTACACATATGACTGGAAGACAGTAACTGATGCAATTATCAAGTCTCGAATATTTCAAGTCCCAAGCTGCTTACTGCTGGGATTTCTATAATAGTCATATAAATTTGATTTGAAATATTATCAGAAAATAAGATTTTAAAAACTAATTGGATGAAATATAAGCATTTCCTTAGCTTACTATTTACACTGTTAATTAACATTCCTTTCCTACTTTGTTCCTAAATAAACTTTAACAAAAGACATTTAAAAAATATGTTTCATGCCTTCCTCAGATCCAGAAATGTTTAAAAGTCAACTGCTAATTAGGCTGTAACTGGAATGGATAAATCTCATTTAGTATTGTATAATGTTCTAAAGGCAGTGCCAAAAAACGAACAGGACTTTTGAACAACTGCAACATTGTGGGAGTTTTTCAGAGTATGCTCTTCCTTATTAATGTGACAGTGTTCATCATCCTTAACATTTAAAACATATAGCATATGCTTTCAGCTATTCACAATCATAAATTGTTATAACTCTGTTTAGTAGGGCACATGCTTTATGCTCTTTCTAGGGTATTTTTCTCTTCATTGAACAGAAAAGGGGCCACTAGACATATAAGAATAGCTGGTCGTGTATTTGTGATTGCAGACAATTTATGGAAATGGTGTAGAAACTCAGTCATCAAAGAAGGAAATGAAGGGGAAAAAAACAAGATGAAAAGATTATTAAGCTTTGGTAACATATAGTCAAGATTATATATAAAAAAAACTATACAGTTAATTTTGATCTATTTTTATTAAAATCTATTTGATGGAGTTGCAAATATAAAATTTGTTAATTACTGCTAAAGCTATATGAAAACATTTGCATTTTTTTTTACTCACTCTCAGCTCTACTATTTGTAAAATCCAGTACTCAACTGAATTTTCTGCTGAGAGTGAAAATTTGATGTGACATAGTGTCAATGTTAATTCTAATAAATAAATTCCTCATAAGTCAGATACATAAGCAATTCTTCCTTGATTATCCTAATAGTAATTCTGACTATTTGAAGACCTTCTTACAGACTATTTGGAGACTGTCCTACAGACCTTTGGAATTTAAATATTAATTTGTAAAAATTTTGGAGAAAAATACCATTTAGCATTTTGAAACTAATATTCTTTCGTTAGAAATTGCATTAAATCCTCCTGTGGTGTGACAAAATTTTAAAACATAAACCCTTTTCAAAGTAAATAAAAATAACCTGGTTATTAGAAAAAGGCATGGGCAGAAAAGTAGGCCAGTAACTTTTTAATTTTTGCTCAGTCTATTAATCTAAAATACATTATTTCTCAGCTCCTATCTGTTCTCTTGCAGAGCCTGGAAATACTTCATAATCTGCATTTGTTTGAGTCCCCATTCTTTTCAACTTTTTTTTTTTTTTTTTTGCCACTGAAACATAACAAAAACCTCTGAATACTTTAGGGCCCTTACTGTTAATATTATTATTAACTTTTCTTGCCCGTGTCACACCCAATAATTCCAATTTTCTTCTTATACCCTTTTCCACTTTGAGACTCATTCCAAATATCCACATGACAAAGCTAAAGTTATTTTTCAGGACAAGGCTTTCTCCATGACATTCTTCCACTGATTGTTATTTCTTTTCTGGGTCAAATAAAGTGATTAGGTATTATTTTCAGAGTCAATCAACAGGCTTTTTGCTAGTGTTCTTATGGTCTCTATTATTTGTTCCAACCAATTTTGCATTCTTATGATTCTTAAAATAATCTGAATTTTAAGACAGTCTTTTCTCAAACCATCCCACACTCAACTGCTCTACCCTTTCCTATTTTCTAGAAACCATTTTCTATCAATTTTCTTCAAGAAGCATTCCCTGACTTCTAATTTCTGTCCTGAGATGACTCAGCCATCTTGAGGATCGAAAATGTAATACATTATTTTAGGTATAAAAAAGAAAGACAAACCAACATTTTGAATAGAACCTTTTAATAGAGGAAATGCAGTGATGAGATAAGTTCTATTCAGCGTGAATGTTAAATACTGTAAAGGAGAATGTATCTGATAGGGCAAAGAAGTTTTGACAAGTATGATGCTCTTTAGTAGTATTATTTACCCCTATAAGACCCAGAGCTGAGGCTGAAATTTATCTTAATTAGACAAAGGAAAATGTCAGAATTTTGAGTTAAACAGTCTTGAGACTTCAGGAATAATTTTCTGATAGGAATTTAAAAGTATACATTGTAAAGAAGAAAAGTATTAAAGTTGAAAATTATATTGATTGTATCACTTCCTTTTGAAAACTTAGATTTTTTTCTTTTTAATTGCAAAATGACTAGATAGTCACCAACAATTACCTGTTTTGGATTTGACATGTTTTGGAACAGGAAATCTTATAATTTTACACAAAGAAGAAATTTGTTTTTGATATGTATAGTTTAGTTCATAAGAAACATTATTTTATTTGGAATGTCATTAATATTTGTTCCTTAAGATAACATTCATAGTTTAGTGCAGAGTAGGAAGAAAGAGTATCTATATTTATGTGGCTGTACTCTGGCTTGGATTGTTTTAAATAAATTATTCTCTGTATTGGGAAAATTTGCCTTTGTAAGGGACAGCAGTAACAAG